CTATGGCCTCTGAAGATCAAAGGCTTAGGCCCCATTCACATATCACATAGTAGGAAGGAGCGTTCACACTTGCAATTTTTGTTGCATAATTTTCACACGATTCCACATGGTGCGCATAGAGCAGTTCATTCACTTCAGTAAGTTGCCTGATGCCTATTTGTCACCCAAAAGAAGCTCCTTCTCCATTTTGGGTGGCAAGCTTAGTGTGATCTTGTAAACACTTATTTTGCTGCACAATTCTGTCACATGACAATCGCAACATAATTGTGTGTTTGGAGTGACTTTAAGAATAATGGCATCCATACATGCACTGTGCGTTTTTGCCATGATTTGGAATAAAAATTGTGTAATGTGAACGGGGCCTTACAATTCATTCACGCCAGATGCACTGACATGCATTGATCAATGTAGGAAGTCGTTCTAGCCAGAGAATTGCACTGATCTGCACTGCCCTGTGCTGAAAGAAAGCAGAACATGCCATACTCCTTTTTTTTTTTTTTTTTTTTTTTTTTTTTTTTCCTGTGCAATGTGACCCAACGAGTGTAAATGCAAAAGTCAAAACAGCCGTTTGATGGAAATTAAAATGATCAACCTACAGAGGACTGAATTCAATGACACCCCGAAAATCAAAGTGAAAAGATGATGCAGCAGGCTAGTCCATTTTGATGAAATTTGATTGCAGCAACTCAGAATGGTACTCAGTAGTTTGTATGGCCCCCACGTGCTTGTATGCATGCCTGACAATAGTCGGGGCATACTCCTAATGAGACGATGGATGGTGTCCTGGGGGATTTCCTCCCAAATCTGGACCAGGGCATCACTGAGCTTCTGGACAGTCTGAGGTGCAACCTGGCGGTATCAGACCGAAGCATGATATTCCAGAGATGTTCTATTGGATTTAGGTCAGGCAGGCGAGCGTGGGGGCCATTTCAATGGTATCAATTCCTTCATCCTCCAGGAACTGCCTGCATGAGGCCAGGCATTGTCATGCACCAGGAGGAACCCAGAACCCACTTCACCTGCGTAGGTCTGACAATGGTCCAAGGATTTCATCCTAATACCTAATGGCAGTCAGGGTGCCATTGTCTAGCCTGTGGAGGTCTGTGCGTCCCTCCATGGATATGCCTCCCCAGACCATCACTGACCCACCACCAAAATGGTCATGGTGAACGATGTTGTAAGCAGCATAACGTTCTCCACGGCTTCTCCAGACCGTTTCATGTCTGTCACATGTGCTCAGGGTGAACCTGCTGTCATCTGTGAAATGCACAGGGTGCCAGTGACTGACCTGCCAATTCTGGTGTTCAATGACAAATGCCAATTGACCTCTATGGTGCCAGGCAGTGAGCACAGGGCCCACTAGAGGACCTTGGGCCCTCAGGCCACCCTCATGAAGTCTGTTTCTGATTGTTTGGTAGCCTGCTGGAGATCATTTTGTAGGGCTCTAGCATTTCTGATCCTATTCCTCATTGAACAAAGGAGCAGATACCAGTCCTGCTGATGGGGTAAGGACCTTCTATGGCCCTGTCCAGCTCTCCTAGAGTAACTGCCTGTATCCTGGAATCTCCTCCATGCTCTTGAGACTGTGCTGGAGACACAGCAAACCTCTTGGCAATGGCACGTATTGATATGCCATCCTGGAGGAGTTGGACTGCCTTTGCAACCTCTGTAGGGTCCAGGTATCACCTCATGCTACCAGTATTGACACTGACCTAGCTAAATGAAAAACTAGTGAAAAACAGAAATTATGAGTAGGGAACAAAATGTCAGTGGCCTCCACCTGTAAAACCATTCCTGTTTTGGGGGTTGTCTTATTGTTGCCTATCCAGTGCACCTGTTATTAATTTCGTTAACACCAAAGCAGCTGAAACTGATTAACAACCCCCTCTGCTACTTAACTAACTATAGCAATATCTCAGGAGTTTAATTGACTTGATGCTATACTCTGATTAAAAAGTTTTCCTTTAATTTTTTTGAGCACACACTATATTTGCAAAAGTATTGGGCTATCCCTCCAAATGATTAGATTCAGGTGTTCCAATCACCTCCATGGCCACAGGTGTAAAAAATCAAGCACCTACGCATGCAGACTGTTTTTACAAACATTTGTGAAAGAATGGGTCTCCTCAGGAGCTCAGTGAGCTCAAGTGTGGTACCATGATAGGTTGTTATCTGTACAATAAGTCCATCCATGAAATTGCCTTACTAATAAATATTCCACTGTCAACTCTTAGGTGTATTAAAACAAAGTGGAAGAAACTGGGAACAACAACAACTCAGCCACGAAGTGGTAGGCCACGTAAAATAACAGAGCGGGGTCAGCGCATGCTGAAGGGCACAGTGCACAGAAGTCGCCAACTGTCTGCAGAGTCAATTGCTAAAGACCTCCAAACTTCGTGTGGCCTTCAGATTAGCACAACAGTGTAGAGAGCTTCATGGAATGGGTTTCCATGGCTGAGCAGCTGCATCCAAGCCTTACATCACCAAGTGCAATGCAAAGCGTCGGATACAGTGGTGTAAAGCACAGACTCTAGAGCAGTGGAGATGTGTTCTCTGGAGTGACGAATCACACTTCTCTGTTTGGCAATCTGATGGATGTGTCTGGGTTTGGCGGTTGCCAGGAGAACTGTACTTGCTTGACTTAATTATGCCAAGTGTAAAGTTTGGTGGAGGGGGGATTATGGTGTGGGGCTGTTTTTCAGGGGTTGGGCTTGGCCTCTTGGTTCCATTGAAAGGAACACTTAAGGCGTCAGCATACCAAGACATTTTGGACAATTTTATGATCCCAACTTTGTGGGAACAGTTTGGAGATGGCCCCTTCCTGTTCCAACATGATTGCGCACCAGTGTACAAAGCAAGGTCCATAAAGGCATGGATCAGCAAGTGTGGGGTGGAGGACCGTGACAAACCTGCACAGAGTCCTGACCTCAATTTTTAGCGCAGTTTAAAACACAAGTCATGCCAATGCATGCCAATGCTGATGCATGTACATGCACTCAATACACATAATGAGGTGTTAATGGAACCAAAGATGGCAGCTTCCTTGGCTGTAAAGGATAGGATAAGTTTTTAGTTCTGCTTTCAGTTATTAAAGGTGTAAGCTTTCAGGATAACCTAGATCAAGCCTGAAGAAGTGATCAAGGTATCTCAAATAACTGCATCTTTAAAGCTTTAGTTAGCCAATAAAAGGTATACATTCACCGGCCACTTTACTAAGTACACCTGTTCAATTGCTTGGCAAAACAAATTGCTAATCAGCCAATCACATGGCAGCAACGCTATGCATTTAGGCATCTAGATGTGGTGAAGACGATTTGCTGCAGTTCAAACCGAGCATCAGAATGGGGAAGAAAGTTTTTAAAAAACTGCTGATCTACTGGGATTTTCTCACACAACCATCTCTAGGGTTTGCAGAGAGTGGTCTGAGAAAGAGACAATATCCAGTGAGGGGCAGTTGTGTGGATGATAATGTCTTGTTGATGTCAGAGGAGAATGGGCAGACTGGCAGACTTGTTTCTGCGACGTTCAGATGGTAGGGTCAGAATTTGGTGTAAACCACATAAAATTATGGATCCATCTTGCCTTTTGTCAATAGTTCAGGCTGGTGGTCATGGTGTGGGGGATACTTTCTTGGCATTAGCAAGGTGTACCTAATAAAGTGGCCGGTGAGTGTATATATTCAGCAGCACACCACAGATGTTCAAGTTAGTCCGAATGGTGTTTATTGAAGATGGATCACATCACAGACAAAGAAGAGCAAAGTTTCAGAGCCGTACAGGACCCTTGGTCAGGCATGCCCCAGGGTGGATGACAGGTCCATGTCCACTAAGTTAATGGAGAGCAGACACTAACCGAGCCCCCTCTCCTCTATGGCTGGCCAGGAGTAAATGGACCCCGCTGTCCCCTGAAGCCATCCCCTGAAGCCATTTCTCTTCGACACTCCACTTCTCATGCACTCTGATGTAAATGCATACAGTGCTGGATCTGCAGTCCTGCATTGTGAGGACACCAAGGGCCCACCCACAGTCCAGAACATTGGAGGGAGGAGGACAGCCCCACTGCAAGGGTAGTTTTGAAATTTCTCTGGAGTTTAGCTTTTTAAATATTGTTGGATGGTGTCACAAGGGATAAGAACTGACTATGTGGAAAAAACTCATTGTCATTCTTTTAATTTTACTAGCATGCTGGTCAATCATACAACACCATAAAATGCCCTGGGATATTAAGGGGCATTAAGAAAATGACATTTATGGATCACAAGAATATATACAGTTGTTGAATGACATACTCTTTGAGTACATACTGGAGTTACCAACCCCCCACCAGCCCATCCAGTAAAAAGGGCAGCTGCACGGTAATGAATTTCCTTTCACAGGCAGGATTTGGCTTGGCCGAAGCTTTCAACTTATATATAGTAAGTGCAGAGTTGTGAGGAGCAGGTCTATGATTATAAAAAGTGATCTTGGAATTAATTTCTCTATCCTTAAAAGCCAAACAGTATATTGAAATCAAAATCTGTGCAAAAGGAGCCAAAAGTTACCATTTGCCCTACAGAGGATTTACCCCCCCCCCTCCCTTCCTGACCAGGCTATTCTGTGCAATATGGCGCTGCGTTACATTAACTGACAATTGCGCGGTCATGCAACGCTGCACCCAAATGAAATTTATGTCCTCCTTTTCCCACAAATAGAGCTTTCTTTCAGGGGTCGCCTCTGCATTTTTTATAGTTTGCGCTATCAATAAAAGACTGACAATTTTGAAAAAAAAACCTCAATATTTTTGACTTTTTGCTATAAAACATATCCAGTAAAAAAAAAAATTAATAATCAGATTTTGTCATAAATTTAAGCCAAAATGTATTCTGCGCCATGTCCTTGCTAAAAAAAAAATCCCAATAGATGTAAATTAATTGGCTTACAGGAACGTTATAGCATCTACAAATGGCGGTATATATACTGGAATATTTTTTTATATACTAGTAATGGTGGTGATCAGCAACTTATAGCGGGACTGCGGCAGGCATTCTGCCACTGGAAGGGAACTAACTGCCACTGACATCCCAATGTCACTAATATAGTGATCAATGCTAATAATAAGCACTGACACTGTACTAATGACACTGGGCAGGAAGGGGTTAACATCTGGGGCGACCAAATGGTTCACTGTGTGCTGTTTTACATGATATGCTGTGTGTGTTTTACTAGGGAAACATGCTGCTTTGTAGTGCTCTACTATGCAGAGCACTACAATGCAGCATGTCAGTGTTGATGGGGAAGAGATCTGTGGTGTTTACACAAAGACCTCTTCCCTGTCACTGTTCCTCGGCGATCGCCGGGTGCCGTGGGGAATCTCTGGCCGGGACCTGGTGATCGGCAACTGTAGCCACCAGTGGCAGTATGGGTAGGGCAGCACGTGCATGCCCCCTACCCGGAAATGCAAAATCATGTGTGTGTATATATATATGTGATTTTGCGCGCAGCCCTGCTATAGGACGGCGGGGAATCGGTTAAAGTAGAACTGAAGGAAAACTGTTCTTATTCTGGATAGAGTAAGACCCCAGTCACACTGGATGCGATTTGCAAGTCGCATGCCAAATTGCAGCCTACTGTCTGCAATTAGAGTGGTCTAAAGAAGTACATGCACTACTTTTGGTGCAATTTTTATAGACATCTGTATCAGATGTCTTGCAAATCGCTCCTGAAATCTGCATGTCATTCGACTTTGAAATTGTGCGACTTCACTTTAAGTCGCACAATTTCAAAATAGCCCAGTCACTGGGGTGTAAGGGAGGGTTATAACCCCTTTCTAGTTTTTTTTTTTTTTTTTTTTTTTTTTTTTTGTCATCTGTGTCCCCTTTGGGGAGTTTTCCGTTCACTGTCCTGTAGCCAGCCAAAACAGGAAGTGAGAGGAAAGCCCAAAGTGAGGGAATCCCTGATATTCACCAGGAGCACCAGAACTAGTGTCCCCATTGGGAGATTTCCCACCTGTGCCTGTTCTGGTGACCACTCAAAATTTGGGATGTTCTTTCACTTTCACACTAGGTGATAATCTGTGCCTAGATAAATAGAGATGGTGAATCTCAGACAGCAATAAAAAGCAGACCGGTGCTCTAATCCTCTTCACTCTATCCAAAACTATAAAAATATTTTGCCCGCAGTTATATGTAAATCACAATTCTGGCTTAGACAGACTACATCAAATGGGTTCTCCAGCAACTTATAAAAAGATAAATGTATAAGTTAAGTTGCTATCATTAGCTCCTCCTAAAGTGGAACTAAACCCATCGATTTAACGGTTACAGAAACCAAAGTTCTACTTTAAGCATATTAACTCTTTAGTACTGTGGTACCAAAATGTCACTAATGACATGTAAACAAGTGGAATCATAACGTGGTTGTAAATCCTAGTAGCCTCAGGTTATACCCAGAGAAGAAACAAATCCTCCTGCATAAGATGCATCTGTTTATCTACAGTCTTTTCTTCTCTACAGCGGTTCAAAGTGCAGAATTTTATAACGCTTGTCTGAGCTTTCAGAAAACGGGGCGGGGAGCTGAAGTGACATTCTGCAGAGCTCTGTGAGGAGAGCTCTGGGAGCTTATTGGAGAGAAGACATACCTCCTTCCTTCACACAGCACACAGAAACGGCGTCAAGGCTGTCAGTCACCTTTTTTTTTTCTTGGTGTCAGGAAAACTGGTCAGAAATGACAGATAGCAGAGGAACAATCCAGCAGATAGACACTTAGTAGTCTAAGGTGTACACTATAGAGGGATATGCTTTGTTCATATTTCATGTTACCCCTGGTTCACATATATGTGGCTGTGCAGGCCGCGTTTTGCGCGGGCACAAGAGCCTATTCATTTGAATGGACTCCCATGCCCCGGGACACGCAGGGAAGAAGTCCCTGCACTTTGGAAACTGCAGCAGGAACCTCGCTTCACAGTTACATAGTTAGTCTGGCTGAAAAAAGACAAACGTCCATCCAGTTCAACCATGAAAAAAAAAGTTATAATCCTATACCCACCGTTGATCCAGAGGAAGGCAAAAAAAAACCAGCAAAAGTATGATCCAATTTGCTTCTGCTGGGAAAAAAATTCCTTCCTGATCCCCCGAGAGGCAATCGGATATTCCCTGGATCAACTTTACCTATAAATGTTAGTATCCAGTTATATTCTGTGTATCTAAGAAAGAATCCAGGACTTTTTTTAAAGCAATCCACTGAGCTGGCCAGAACCAACTCTTGAGGGAGTCTATTCCACATTTTCACAGCTCTCACTGTGAAGAAACCTTTCCGTGTTTGGAGATTAAATCTCTTTTCCTCCAGATGTAAAGAGTGCCCCCTTGTCCTCTGTGATGACCTCAGGGTGAATAACTCTACACCTAGTTCACTATATGAACCACTGATGTATTTATACATGGAGATCATATCCCCCCTTAATCTCCTCTTCTCAAGAGAGAATAAATTCAGTTCCTCTAATCTTTCCTCATAGCTGATCTCCTCCATGCCTCATATCAGTTTAGTTGCCCTTCTCTGTACTTTCTCCAGTTCCCCAATGTTCTTTTTGTGAATTGGTGCCCAAAACTGAACTGCATATTCCAGATGAGGTCTTACTAATGATTTGTACCGGGGTAATATGATATCTCTCTCTCTGGAGTCTATACCTCTTTTAATACAAGAGAGGATTTTGCTCACTTTAAAAACTGCAGCTTGGCATTGCATGCCATTATTAAGCTTGTGAACTACTAGAACCCCCAGATCCTTCTCCACCATTGATTCCCCCAGTTGTACTCCCCCTAGTACAGTCAGGTCCATAAATATTGGGACGACGACACAATTCTAACATTTTTGGCTCTATACACCACCACAATGGATTTGAAATGAAACAAACAAGATGTGCTTTAACTGCAGACTGCCAGCTTTGAGGGTATTTACATCCAAATCAGGTGAACGGTGTAGGAATTACAACAGTAACAGCAACGAAAAACCTAGACTTAGCCCTGGTTCACACTAATGTAGTTCGCAGTGTTTTCTGTGCGAATTTCACACCGCATCAGAATCACACCCCTTCATGCGAACCACTGTGAGTGTGTATGTTAAGTTAACCGTTTCAATACCGGACAATTTTCCCCCTTCCTGCCCAGGCCATTTTCCAGGTTTCAGCGCTCTCACACTTTGAATGACAATTGCGCGGTCATACAACATTGTACCCAAACTAAAATTTTATCATTTTCTTCACACAACTAGAGCTTTTTTTTGGTGGTATTTAATCACCGCTGGGGTTTTTATTTTTTGCTAAATTAACGAAAAAAGGCCAAAAAGTTTGAAAACAAAACACGTTTTTCTTTGTTTCTGTTATAAAAGTTTGCAAATAAATAATTGTTCTTCATAAATTTAGGCCGAGATGTATTCTGCTACATGTCTTTGGTGAAAATAACCCAAATTAGGATGTATTTTTTAGTCTGTAGGAAAGTTATAGAGTTCACAAACTATGGTATAGATCTGAAAATTGATCAATCCTGAAGTACTGACAGCCAATCTAATTTCTTGAGGTCCAAAAATGTCAGAACAGTACAGATATCCCCAAATGACCCCTTTTTGCAGAGTAGACAGTCCGACGTACTTCATAAGGGGCATGGCGAGTTTTTTTAAGTTGTATTTTTTTGTCATTTTTTGGAAAATAAAAAATGCAAAAAATAATTTTCACAATTTTTTTTTTTTTTTTTTTTTTTTTTACATAATGTCACCAGTGCAGTACAGCATCATCATATAACTGGCATGGCGGTGAACAGGGACACGGACTGGTGACAGTATGGAAAAAAAAAAAATATATATTTTTTTTAATTTTTTGTTTAATTTTTTTACTATTTTTAATTTTTTATTACATTTTTTTTTTCTTTTTTTAAGATTTTTTTTTCATATTTCACTATGGCCAAAGTAGTACATTGTTACCATAGTAACATTTGTACTACTTTGGGGAAGTGATCAGTATTGTTTTTTTTTTTTTTTTTTTTTCTTTTTACACAATTTGCTTATAGCAAAGAATTACTTTGCTATAAGCAAGCATTTACCTGAATGACATCGATTCATTCAGGTTTTTTTTTTTTTTTTTTTTTTTTTTGTGCTTAGCTGTGATTTGGCCACAGCTAATCACATGACATGTGCATGTGAGCACTGTGACCATTCACAGCTAGACACTAGTATACAATGGATGGCATGAATGAAGCCATCCATTGTATACAACTGTCATGTGACCTGCTGTGATTGGTCACAGCAGGTCACATGGTACCGGCAATGGGGGCCGGTACTCAGACCGAGGTACACGGCCGGTGACAGATCGCGGCTCTGCAAGCGCGAAAACTGCGCATGTGCGGGAGGATGCCAAATGGCGTCCACCCGGAAATCTAGAGCGTTTTCCCAGCCGCCATTTGGCTATTGGCCGGGAAAACAACACCACGAAAGCGGTCCGCAAAACGCGGTGTGATGTGCAGAATCGGATCACATAGGTGTGAATACAAATGCGATCCTATTCTAGTGCGGACCAAAAAAAGGGTCCTGCACATTTTTGGTGCGATTAGAGCCATACAAAATGTATGTCTCCAATCGCACCGCACACAAAGCTAATGTTATTGGCACAGGAATGGGGTGCAGTTCCTTTGTTAATCACATGCGATATACCGCACCGCATATATGTGAACCTGGGCTTAAGGTGGGAATACACGATTAGAAAATTGACTGATTGGTCATCTGATGACCGAGAGGCGTTTGTTGGTCAAAATCGTGGCCCACTTCAACCAATCTAAAAAAATCATTTGGGCAATACGTAGTGTTGATGTATTCCGTACAAGTGGAAGTGATGCAGTGTGCATGTGACCTTGTAGCCACGCCCTTCCAGCCAGAACGAGCGATATACACAACAATTAACAGCAATGAGTATAATATAGTTTATTACATTAACTATATACATAAATAATGATACATAAAAAATAATCTGCAGAATTCTGCTTTCATTATCTCATTAGGCCACTCTACTTTTAACATTTGGATTTTTCGTTTGTGTTTACGAAGATTCCTTGGACATAAACATCCGAGTCAGCTGTTTCCACTCATTATTATTATTATTATTATTATTATTATTATTATTATACAGGATTTATATAGCGCCAACAGTTTGCTCAGCACTTTACAATATAATGGGAGACAGTACAGGAGATAGTACAGTAACAATACGATTCAATACATGAGGGGTTCGAGGGCCCTGCTCCTTGGAGCTTACAATCTAGGAGATGCATGATAGCGCTTGATAGTTTGTTTTTTTTCATACGACCGTCATACCACCGCATAGAAAATTGGTTGTTCGTATGCGGAACGACAACATTTTTCACTGTTGTTCAACCAGATTTTTTCATTCACAATATCGTTTATCGGTTAAAACATCCTGCTCATCAACAAAGTGAAAAATTTCACGCAACCACTGATCGAACGATTTTCTGACGATTTTTCTTACCGTGTGCATGGGGCATTATGCAGGCCATAGACAGTTCGTTTATTGGCCGAATTTTCATCCGAAAGAATAATCGGTCAATATTCGCATCATTAGTGGGGCAATGTCGTTGGCAGATTTTCGCGGTTCCTCCTCATTTCTTTTATCGGTCATGCTGGAAAATTTATGAAAAACGGCCGATTTTTGTAAGCATTGGTGGCAACAGAACAACTGATTTTTTTTTTTTCTTTTTTTCATTTTTTGGCCAAAAATTTGGCCGATAAACGAACAGTGTATGGCCAGCATTAGTGTGGTTTGTTAAAAATAAAAAATAATAGAGACTGTGGGTTTGACTTGGTGCAGCTGTGTGTGGTAGCCAATCAGCTTCTAACTTCAGCGTGTGGTAGCCAATCAGCTTCTAACTTCAGCTTGTTCAATCACACTTTAACAAAAGAATTGGTAGCCAATGTGACTGTCTTCTCAGCGGTGTGTGGTAGCCAATCAGCTTCTAACTTCAGCGTGTGGTAGCCAATCAGCTTCTAACTTCAGCGTGTGGTAGCCAATCAGCTTCTATCTTCAGCTTGTGGTAGCCAATCAGCTTCTAACTTCAGCGTGTGGTAGCCAATCAGCTTCTAACTTCAGCTTGTTCAATCACACTTTAACAAAAGAATTGGAATGTGATTTCTATGCAGCGCTGCACCAGACTTTGCGCTCTTCAGTTTTAGTAAAACAACCCCGGTGTCTTCTTAAATCATGGACAGATTATTGCATTTAGTACGGAGCTGGTAGACCACGAGACTGAGTGTATGGCTTCATTAATTTCACATCCTCAGACCGCAATCTTCCCACATAGATCAAGTTAAATCTGCCTGTAATTGAGATCAATAACTTGTGTCTCCATTTCCAAGTACAATACTGGTTTCCTTCCTCGGTGTGGACTTAGCCCTTTAATTCAGAACCAGTGGGGGGGGGGGGGGGTAAGCTGTTGCCTCTGCCTTGGCCTTCCTATACACTTTTTCTTGCAATGTTGAAACTGCCATCAATATTTACCGTGAGCCTGAGGAGTTTTCCCTGTGCAAAGTGTGGAGGGGGAAGGGAGCAGCCTCTGGAATTATTCAGTTTCAGGAATGTGGCTTCTGTATAATATTGTGTACTCTGTCTGGTCTTTTTTGAATTTTGCCACAATGCATTTGAACAAAAATATTTGGAAGTAGTTGATGCTTTATGACTTACTTATAGGTAGGAATCTATTTCTAAATCAGATTGGTTTCAGTGTTAGAAAATACTGACAAATCGACTTTTTTAACTCTGTAATCTTAATGTAACTTATTGACTACAGTATTGGGTAATTGAAAGTCGATCAATAAGTAGAGAAAAGGTCATTCATTTAGTGGTGATATCACTACTGCCAATAAATTACAAATTCCTGTTCAGGGCTGCATGCTGGACTTTACCAACAAGGCTACTTGTCTAGATAAAGATCAAGCATGGATTTTGGGGGGAATCCCACATCATCGACATCATCCTCATCATCATTTGTTTTTATGCGGCCCCCCTTAAAAATTCATACCAGACCCCTATCTAGGATAAAGGTCTGATATGGATTTTGTGGGGAACCGCATGTGAGTTTTTCTTGTCTGTTTTTCTTTTTTTAACCACTTGCCCTCCAGAGGATTTACCCCCCTTCCTGACCAGGCCATTTTTTGCATTACGGTGCTGCATTACTTTAACTAATAAGTGTGCGGTCATGCAGCGCTGCACCCAAATGAAATTTACGTCCTTTTTCCCACGAATAGAGCTTTCTTTTGGTGGTATTTGTGATCACCTGTGTGTTTTTTTTTTTTTTTTTTTTTTTTTTTTTTGTTTTTTTTTTTTGCGCTATAAAAACAAAAGTCCGACAATTTTGAGAAAAAAAAACAGTATTTTTGACTTTTTGCTATTTAAACATGTCCAGTAAAAAATTAAATTTCCTTATAAATTTAGGCCAAAATGTATTCTGCGACATGTCTTTGCTAAAAAAAAATCCCAATACGTGTAAATTTATTGGTTTAAGTGAAAGTTATAGTGTTTACAAATGGCGGTATATATACTGGGCTTTTTAAAAAAAAATTGTTTTTACTAGTAATGGCGGCAATCAGCGACTTATTACAGGACTGTGACAGGCATTCTGACGCTGGGGGGAACTGACTTGGTGTCACTGACATCCCCAGTGACACCAATGCAGTGATCAGTGCTAATAAAAAGCACTGACACTGTACTAATGGCACTGGGCAGGAAGGGGTTAACACGTGGGGCAATCAAAGGGTTAACTGTCATTTTACTAAGTGTGCTGTGTTATTGCTTCACTGCAAGTACACTGGTTTGCATGGCTGTGCTATACACAGCCATGCAAAGCAGCATGCAGGAGCTGACAGGGGGAAGAAGTGTTTTGTTTACAAACAGTTTCTCACTCCCCCCCTGTTGGAGATGCTCAACAATCATCGGGCGCCAGCAAGTAATCACCAGCTGGGACCCGGTGACTGAGAGCCGCGGCCATGAATGGTGGCACGGGTAGGGCGCATGCATGGCTCGTGCACTCCTCCTAACCGGAGATATAAAATCACATATATATACACATGATTTTGCGCACAGCTGCCGCCCTATAGCAGTATTTCGGCTATGGGGCATCGCTAAGCACTAAAGCGGTTAATTCTTCAGAGCATGTTCACTGCCCCTTCTTTTAATGTCCACCTAGGTTGCATGCCTGGATAAGGGTCTAGTGTTGAGTTTTAAAGGACACCTTGCAAAAAAAATGAGGTCCCAATAAAGTCCATAACTGAACCTTGTCCTTTGAAGGGGGACCCCAGCCAAAAGAAAGAAAAAAAAAACTTTTATTAATGATTATTATTATACAGGAGATATATATATATTAGTGCCAACAGTTTGCTCAGCGCTTTGCAAAATAAATAATGGTCTGTTATGGATTTAGAGAGTGACCCTTTGCAGAAACGAAACAAAATGGCAGTCTCTCAGGCAAGGTAACCTCCCCATGTTGAGGAATGTGGCTCAGTATGGTGCTGGGGGGGGGGGGGGGGGGGGTGAAGCTACATTCTTGCTGACTGTCCCCTTACTAGCTAGCCAAGCTGTAGGCCTGTAGGCCTGGGTAAGCATCTCATATGGGTTTTTGGGAGGGAGTCCCATGTTTTTTTTTGTTTGTTTATCTTGGCCTGGGAGTTACCTTCTAAATGCAAACCAGACCCTCATCCTTGATAAGGGTCTGGTATGAATTTTGGGGTGGTCTCCTCAACATTTATTTTTAAGGTCCTACTTAAAAATCCGTACCACAACTCTCAAGGGTCTGGGCTTTGTGGGAAATAAAAAAAAAAAAAAAAAAAAAAACAAAACTTATTTGCAGGGCATGTGGCCACACATGGTGCTCCATTTTAACACTCTTCTTGGCCACCCAGACTGCATGTCTGAGGTCTTGTATGGACTTTTAACTAGTTGCAGACTTTGGGGAAAATGGCATCATTGTACACAGGGTGTGTGCAGCACATCCAGTCTCTCTACCCTACTTCTGGACCCCCCACCCCCCAGTATTCTGACTACTCTCAGTATGTTGTAATACGGTAAATTCGGCAGCTCTAGCTGTCAAAAACAGTCTGAATTATTGTTTATAAACAACACTGCTCCAAACTGAAGATACAATGTAACTTTTTGTTATATTTGTACCTTTCTGCTGGTTCATCTGCAGATCCAAGGGATGAACTTAGATCTGCAAATGATGTCAGTTAAAGCAACCTGACAAGAAAAAAAAAGTTTTTGTTTTTTGTTGTTTTTTTTTTTTAAGTAAAATGTTCCTCTGTTTAACCCCTTAGTATATTTTAGCCATCCCTAATTAGTCTTTTTCTCTCCAACTATTTTCTTGCTAATTCATTTAGTTTCTATTTTGTTAACTATTAATATTTCAACTTTTTTTGTTTTGCTGTGTAAATATATTTGAAATATGTAAAAATATTAACAATTTCCCATTTAAAAAAAAATCTCAAATTTGGGGGAAAAAATGTATTACATTTGTAAATAACTTTGGAATGCATTGTGTCAGAATCATAATTTTAGCATCATTTTAAACAGGACAAATTACAGAATAAAATGTGCACATTTTATGTGTAGTAACACTATTTATTTTTAAACTACCACTGCTCAAAATGAAAAAAAAAAAGAAAAAGTCTTTGTGTATGTTGCAAGTCAATATCATGTCATGAAAGAAAGCCTCATTTGTCCTATATATATGTTTGTCCTATATATAAACAATATATGAATTACCTTGTTATCTTTAGTAATGATAAAGTTACCATCAAATAAACAGGTCCATAGCAGAAATGTAAAAAGTACTCTGCATCATAGGGAGTGAACAGGTGTGAGAGGTGAAGTAGTCAAGGGGGACCCTGCACAAAAAAAGAAAAAAATATGGGGTCTGTCCAAAAAGCATACCAGGCCCTTACCTGGGCATGCAGCTTAGCTGGCTGGGAAAGGAAAGGTCTGTGAGCATGCAGTTGGGTAGTGGTAGGGATGATTAGCTGTATGCAGGGTGTTTATCAGTGGTCACAACCTTTTCCACACCAGGGGTATAAAAAAATCTTCTTTTCTCTGGGAATAGCAGTGTTGTGTTAGAGAGAGAGAATGAAGTTGGGTTTGGTCCAAACATGGGTCCAGACCAAACACAGAAGGAAGCTGTCACTACCGCCTACTGTGGCCAATCAACTGTAGTCAAGGTATTTTATTTACCAAGTCATTTTTTTACTTTGTAATGTACTGTATATTGTTCTATATTTTGTTTTTTTCCCCAATCTCTGATTCTTTCTGTTAGTTCTTGTCAAGGTCCTACCTTTTCCCAGAGGTTATGTTACTCCATGTGCTGGCATCCATCTTGGATTTCTGCAGAGCATGGTGGGAATCCTTTATGCCTTCAGGTCTCTGAGGTCCATCCCCCAGAGGGGTGTGGCTGAGTACATATAAGCCTGTGGTCCGCACATGCTCTTTGCACTTGTCTTGTTGTTGCTATAACTCTGTTCTGACTCTCGTGACTCTCCTGGAATCTGACTTGGCTTGTGACTCGACTATTCTTTGTATTTACCTTTGATCTGACCCTCCGTTGCTGAACCCGGCCTGTGACCTGTGATTCTCGTCTGCTGTCCTGTACCGTTTTGTCCTGTTGTTGTTGACCCGGCCCGCCCGACTACTCTATTGTCCTTTCCACCAGCTACACGCCATTGGTGGCGGCCATTACCGCAACTTGGGGTCTTGGGGGCCGCAACCTGGTTCCTGGCTGCGTCAAGTCCATCCCCACCATCAGGGGCCCTGGTGAAGGGCAGCCTGGGACTTAGACTCCGCGCCCTGAGGGACTTCGGTCTGTGGGTGGTGGTTGTCGTCAGCCAGTGCGTTACATTGTTAATAGGCCTGCCTGCCCATTCTAGCGTTCCTGTCCTGACAGTTCTGTATCAGTTGACGGGTAGGTTCTTGTGACTGATCTCCGACAACCCCTACTTCCTCTTCTTTTCCCTCTCTGCTAGAGTAACCACCCTTGTGAAGCATAATCAAGTGTTATGAATCTGCTGAATCCTCTAACATTCTTTGGACACAAATACTAGATATGTCAAATAATGGAACCGGAAAATGTTAACTATTGAGACCTTTTGTGTACCATAATCAATATAATCACATTTTCTATCAAATGATCTGTGTTTTCTACCGAAGTCTAAAAAGTCTACTTATAATTAAAAAAATACGCTAACCAGTGTGAAGGCCTAATTAAATGTATATAGTTATTGTAAATTGACTTTTATGAATGTTAAGATGGTGGTTTTATTATGGGGAACAGAGGGAGAGAAAGGAGAAGTATAGCCGAAGCTCTTTTGGCCCTGCCTTATTGGAGTGCACCTAGTTCTGCAATACTGTAACATGTATTCAGCCAACAGTGGGCTAAAGTCTGCTGTCAGCGGATGTCACTGTGCTGGTCCATGCTCTGAATCAATCCCAACTTTAAAGTGTTACTAAACCCAGGACACCAAGCTGAGCATGTGTATGTGACACTGGATTCAGTCTGTATCTGGTGGTCATTTCAGCAAGAGTAGGGGCAAAGAAGAAAGGATCACACAGCCTTTTTACACAATGCAGAGGATTAACCCCTTACGTTCCACAGTGAGTATAACAAGCATGCTTTACTGCATATACAGACCGATTTCACTGTTGTGGGTTTAGTAACACTTTAATGTCAGATTTGCCCAGATGCCTGGACCAGCAGTTGTCAGCCTCTCAGTGAGCCACTGAGAGTCTGAGCCAGCCGCTCCCACGCCGTCCACAGCCCAGAGCTGGAGGGGCAGAGAACAGAGCTGGGGCACCAAGTGGTTAGCGCAGTGATCTCTGCTGCTGTGCCCCCACCAGAACACACTAACCAGCGCTCGCAGCTGTTGGTTTTCCAGCATGTCCCTTCAACAAAAGCTGGTCCTTAAGCCGTCTTGTGTCAGGATAGCTGTGCACACGGGCTGAATGTTGGCCAGTTCATGCTGAACCATCTGATATTCGGACCGTTTGTACCCAACTTTAGATGCAGTGGTGGGCAGATGTAGCATCCGTTCAATGCTGCATCCACCTAGGTATGTATGTATGTTCCTGCTGAACCATCTGATATTCGGACCGTTTGTACCCAGCTTTAGATGCAGTGGTGGGCAGATGTAGCATCCGTTCAATGCTGCATCCACCTAGGTATGTATGTATGTTCCTGCTGAACCATCTGATATTCGGACCGTTTGTACCCAGCTTTAGATGCAGTGGTGGGCAGATGTAGCATCCGTTCAATGCTGCATCCACCTAGGTATGTATGTATGTTCCTGCTGAACCATCTGATATTTGGACCGTTTGTACCCAGCTTTAGATGCAGTGGTGGGCAGATGTAGCATCCGTTCAATGCTGCATCCACCTAGGTATGTATGTTTTTTTTAATTCCTGAACTTATCTGTTATATTTACAAAATAGGAGTGGTTGTGGCAGCTTATAAATGAAGTATGTGAACCATGTTTCATGGCACATGCTATAGTGGACAAAATGTGTTGGCTATTTGCTTTCATTGTCTTTCTATAGGATGAGGTGTGCTCAAACATGTGCCTGGAGGAGCAGTGCTGAATGATTCATGTGGTCATCCTACTATTGGAGTCTTTCAGCTGACAAAGATAATGGATAAGTGATTAAATTCTGTTCTATTGATTGGAACAAAGAAAGGGGAGATACCTTTTTGAGACAATTATGAATCCTGTAAAGATAGAGGATCAGAGCGACTAGGTGCCATGTTATACTAGCAACTGTTGCTGGAGATAACCTGCTAGAGATAGGATTACTATGCAGAGCATGTAAATAGTCATCTGGTTATCCCGTGCTCCCTCAGTGTCCATTTGGGCGAGCCATT